CAGTATTTCTCCTTCCTGTCCCCAGAGGTGGGGGCTCAGAGGTGCTGTGCTGTCTGAGCCGTCTCAGCTGAACTGAGGTTGGTGCCTGCCTCTCTGCCACTTGCACGTGTGTTTCCCCTTGGTTTCTAGAGACTGTTTCTAAAAATACAGACTGCCTTGTGGCAGGTCCCTAACAGGAGCTGGAGCTGGCTGTAAACAGAAGGGAGTTGCCAGCCTCCTGCTGCATTTCCAGAGGGGTTTGCAGCTGATGTTACCCCTGCGTTTATGCAGCACTGAAAGGCAGCTGGGAGAGCTCCCAAAGCACCATGTTCCATCAGACCTGGGCCAGAGATGGACTGAGCTGCAGTGGAGATGCAGGGCTGTGTGCTGAGCCAGGATCTGACCCCAACACCAGGCTGGTGGCCTTACTGATGGGACAGTGCCAGCAAAGGTGACCCTCCTGGGCTGTGGCCAGAGCCTTGCTCGCTCACATCACTTTGGTCTGTCCTATTTGTCCTGTGGCTTTATCTCCACTAGATCCAGGTGCCTGAAACATCCATTTAGCTGGGCTAGCTAGGCGTTAGTCCTGGCCTCTTGCTGAGATGGTGCCATTAACGTTATTTATATCTCCCTACTACGCTGCAGCAAAGGGGGGAGCAGCACCAAATGAGATCTCATTACCTTTGTGCAAACGATTAGCATAACAATATTTTTTTTTCCAGCTTAGCCTTGGTAGGCCACAGACAGCTCTCAGCAGATTCAGTGCCACACTTGGTTCAGCCTCCCTGGATCAAGGGGCCAGTGCTCCCTGGCTCCTTCTAACACCTCTGCCCAGCCTGGTGCTCTCCTGCCTCTCCTGACAGTTCTGCCCAGTTGCCACAGTGCTGATGCCATGTGCTGCTCCAGGAGTCTCAGCCACAGTGGCAGGTGTCCTGCAGGACAGGAGACAATCTCTGTGCTCTGCCGTGCCCTGGCTGCCATGCAGTACCTTTGGGATCTGCTTCCTGGCTGCACGGTGGGTCTTCCCCATCCTGCACTCAGTGAATGCCTCCTGGCTCACCTCCTGTCCCTGCCATGCCCTGTGTGCTCCCATGCAGCACCCAATCCATACAGCAATTTCCGTGGTGGCAGCAGCCCAAGGACCAGAATTACAGTGGATATCTTTTCCAATCGAAGACCTGATTGATACAGAAAGGGGCTGGTCCAGCATAAATCAGGTCCAATAAAGGAGAGTCCATAGACAGCAGCACCTTGCTGTGAGTGGGCCAGTCTGTGTTTTATTAGATAAAGACTACAAACAGTCATCAATGGCTTCTGACACCTGGCTGCAATTGTCACTTGCTGTTCAGCCCCATCCTGCCCTCACTGCTGGCTGGCAATGCACAGCACCCCTAAGCAGGGAGTTGAGCCAAGTGTCAGTCCCTGTCCCTGCCCTCCCTCCCTGCTCCTGGTCAGCAGCAGCTGTTCCTTGGATTCATTGCTGGCACCAAGGCCCTGGAGGGTCCCGTGAAGTGGCCGTGCTAATGGGACTGTAATGGGTTGTGCTGTGCCAGCTGAGCCCCTTAAGCAGCAGGGTGTGAGCAGATGGGGAGGAGGATGGCTGACTTGGCTGGGAGGCTTGGAAGGAGCTCTGCCTGCCCCTTCAGGAGTTACAGAGGATCCTTGGGGTGTCTGGCCTTCAAGCTGAGGCAAGGCCCTTCACCCACAGCTCTTGGGTTTGGAAGCAGTGTCTGCTCTTGCAGGCTCAGTGCCACCTGCAGACCCTGTCTGCTCTGGTGTCCATGTCAGCAACCGATTTTTATCCTGATTCTGACTCTGTGCCACTCACAGAGGGTCTTCTGGAAGGTTTTTCCCCTCTCTCTGCTCTGCCTGCGTTGTCTGTCAGCACAGCTCAGCCTCTCACCTGCAGCTGCCCCTCTGCCAGGTTCACTATGCCCCAGGCATACTGACAGGGAGGCACCAGGCTGGCCTCGAGGTGCTGGCAAAGGGGCACATGCCGCAGTGGATCTGGCCACCTTTGGGCACTCAGGCTGCTGTGGGGCTGAGGAGCCAGGGAGCTGGGTCCCTACGATGGAGCAGAGGGAGGCCCCAGCCCCTATCAGTGCAGCTGCTGGAGGTGGTGCATGAAGAGCTGCTGCTCACTCAGAGTGTGGAGGAACTTGTGGCAGGTCCTGCTGGCTGTGCTGTGGGGTGACTTCCTGTGGGTTTGCTTGTTCCCTGCAGACAACACAGCAGCAGTGCACACACAGAGGGTGGGCTTCAATCGCCAGGAGCAGGATGTGTACCTGCTCCCCATCCTGGTGGTGGACAGCGGCCCCCCAGCCCTGAGCAGCACAGGGACTCTGACCATCCGCATCTGTGGCTGTGACAGCAATGGGGCCATCCAGTCCTGCAACAGCACAGCCTACATGGTGTCAGCCACACTGAGCCCTGGCGCCCTCATCGCACTGCTGGTCTGCATCCTCATTCTTGTTGGTGAGTACCTGCCTGTCCGCCAGACCCCTCCTGTCCTGTCCCAGCTCCCCTCCATCAGCATCACATGAATGCATGCAGGTGGGTGTTGTGGGCACAGAACAGGCTGCTCTGCATCTCTCTCCTCCCTGGTAGCTGCAGCACAGGCAGCAGGAACCTCAGCCGTGCCAGTGGGGAACAATCAGCAAAACTTCCATGTTTGCCCCAGTTCCTGCATGCTGGGCATCAGCAAGGCGGCTGGAGCAGGGCTCTCCATGCCAGGCAGGCATGCTGCTGCCCAGCAGAGACTGGAGAGCTGCTGGCTCATTCCCTGCTTGGATGGGCAGGAGCTGAGAGCTGCTTGCCAGCTGCCACGCTGTGCCCACAGCAGGCATCTCGCAGCAGATGGGGGGTGTGTGCATCCCAGCGTGTGGCCAACGGCAGCAGGTGTGGGGAATAGAGGTGTGCTCTTACCTGAAAGGGTCAGTGTTAGAGCACGTGGGCAGGATGCAGAGCTGGAATGCAGGCAAACCAGAGCACTGCCCAGGTCAGGACCTGTGCCTCAGGATTGCCACTGCTGGCTGCTGACACACTGGCACCAGCTTTGCTGGACCACCACAGTAAGGCATGAAGGTGCAAGGGGAGCGTGGACTTGTGTGCACACAGGAAGGGGCTCTGAGCCAGGGGTTGTGGTGCCTTCAGGTTTAGCACAGGGCAGTTGATGGATGCAGCTGCTGA